TCATGGAAAAACGCATTCATGAACAAGGAGGGACGCTTACTCCTCCCCAAACTGAATGGTGAAAGAGGACGCTATGGTATGAAGGAGCATACTCTTGCAAATACCTACAGAAAGATTCTTTGTTTACCAAAAAATGGAGTAGAAGCAAATAAGCTTCTCAAATTCAGGTATGTGTTAATCACAAGTCACCCCAGTTGAAGTTGTAATCCAACCAAGTCTGTATACAAGATGACCATCTGTTTTCTTATATGTTAGGTCGCCTGCTGCTGGTAGTTCAGCTGGAGATTTTGCTGATGTTGCATATTGGGTGTTGAAAAGCCGTTGTCGAAATGGAGGCAAATTGACCGTTGGGCAGGTTGACTCTCACCTCACAAATATTGCTACTTTAAACGCAAACAACAATCGAAGTGAGTAAATTTTAAAGCTCGGCATTCAATAGAAAAAATATTGCTTTTAAGAAAATTATATGAATGCCATGTTAATCTTTTTCAAGGGGGCATTGATGTGGAGCTAACAGATGTACTTTTCAAAATGTCTGCTCATGAGCAAAAGTGGTTCATACGCCTGCTTCTAGAAAACCTGAGACTTGGTCTTGGTCAGAATGATATTATGAAAGCTATTCATCCAGATGCAAAAGATTTGTATGATGTCTGCAGTAGTTTGAAAAAGGTAATCACGAGATTTTCTTAGTACCTGATATACTGTAGTTCTAATTTTCATTTCTCTTACTTCTGTTTTATGAATATTTCTATAGGTGTGTGAAAAATTACATGATCCCAGCAAACGTTTACATGAAATTGAAATTTCACTTTTTCAACCATGCCGGCCCATGCTATCTGAGAGGTTGGATATTTTAAAAGTTGACACTATCATCAATAAAGCACCATTTTATTATGTGGAGAGAAAACATGATGGAGAACGCTTTCAAATCCACAAAGATAATGGAAAATATTGCTACTTTTCAAAGTAAAATAGGTTTTATTACTGTTCTTTAGTTAAATTAAAAATGAACTTAATGGATCTCACCCAGATGTTAATCCTTCAAAATAAAATCTTTTTAGGAATGGAAAACCAGAGTATACTGACAATTACGGAGATTCAATGAATTCAGGATTACTTACCCCCTTCCTTGGCAAACAATTGCATGCAGATGTTAAAACATGTATTTTAGATGGTGAGATGATGGCATGGAATACAAAAATGAATTTCTTCCAATCTAAAGGTACTGTTGTACAAATTGTGAAATTTCTATCTAATAGATAATTATTTTTAGAGTGTAATTGAACTGTTTTGTTTTCGTTGAAGGGCCAAATTTTGATGTCAAACGATTGCGAGAGGGTGACCTTCACCGCCCATGCTTCTGTGTGTTTGATGTTCTGATGCTCAATGGAGAAATTCTAACAAATAAACCCCTAGAAGATCGCATTAATGTGCTCAACAAATTATTTTCTCCCTTGGAGGGTGTGATTATGCATACACCTCAGAAGCGTGTGACCACTAGGTAAGCAACCTGCATGTATTTTGTAGGGTAAAGTGCTCAGTGATGGCCATTTTTCTGGAATTGCAACCAAATGGTTAACTTTCTTTTAGTTAGATTCTTTTGTGAATATCAAAAGCCCTCCCATACCACTTTTCCATCTACGTTACTTAAAGTAGGGGTAGCCATCATTGTGCAAGCAGGCTTTAGGCAGGCCTTCATTGGACATCTTACACTAGATGCTACTGTTTAAGTTTTGATTAAAGTCAAATTTAATTCATATACCAATATTTAGTACAGAGATCATTGAAGCTCTTAACAATGCAATTGACAACCAAGAAGAAGGATTGATAGTGAAGCATCCCAGCTCAATCTACAAGCCGGCTACAAGATCTGGAGGGTGGTACAAAATTAAACCAGAGGTTGAAACTATTATATTATCAAAATTATTCTTGCTACTGGTCAAACTTACCTTCATATTTTAATCTTTTCAATTTCTTTTTGTTTTAGTATACTGTTGGATTGACAGATGAGTTGGATTTAATTATACTGGGAGGGTACTTTGGAGAAGGCCGTAGGAAGGCTAATATCAGTCATTTCTTAGTTGGTGTTGCTGTTTCTCCAGCAAACGAGGGTACCAACCCTGTTGATTTTTATTCTGTTGGTCGTGTGGGATCTGGATATTCCAGAGAAGAACTTGCTGATTTACTCCAGAAACTAACTCCCCACTGGAGAACTGTTAAAAGTGGTTTTTTGCCAAATGGTCTCCATTGGACAAAAGAGAAACCAGATGTATGGATTGAACCTTCCAAATCCCAAATTCTTCAGGTGTGTATATTTTTCTTTGTGAATCTGGTATGTACTTTTCAACCTGTAATTGCTCTTTTATTTTTCATTCAGGTGAAAGCAACAGAGATTGTAAAAAGTGATTCATACAAAACTGGATATACCTTGCGCTTTCCTCGGGTTGAAAAAGTCCGTTATGATAAAAACTGGTCAGACTGTTGTACAACTTCTGATTTTGAAAAATTAAGATTAGTAAGCAATATCTAGAAAGTTATCTAATTTAGAAAAAAATTGACAACTCTTGACTTATCTATACAACTGCTATAATTTGTATTTAACTTCCTATTTCAGTCAAACTCAGGGAAATTAGCCTCCCGACATGTCATGGCAGCAGACCTTTCCCAGGCCCCTCCCAAAAAACGGCCTCGTACAAAACCAGTTGGTGCTGTTGGAAGAGACTATAGAGCTGCTGATTTAACAGACTCTGATCAAAGAGGTACTCTCTTTACTGGTAAAGAAATATGTGTCTTCAGTGGTAATGCCCAAGTATCAAAACAGGTCATGGAAAAACGCATTCATGAACAAGGAGGGACTTGTGTACAACAGAGAGGTACCTGACAACTATATCGCTAATATGACTTCAATTTTCTCATGTTAATTGAAGGTGTAAATTTGTAACAACCTAATGCGATTGCAGGCCCCGATACCTTTTGTATTGTAGCAGGAAAGAAAGACTTTCGTCTTAAGAATCTAATACAAAATGGTGATGTAGATGTTGTGAAAGTTGATTGGTTTCTACGAGTCCTTGATGAAGAGAGGCTTTTAGAGTGGACTCCACATGACTTGCTATCAATGTCTAAAAAAACATCTGAGGATATATTAACTAAATACGATAGGTTTAATGACAGCTACCAAAATCCAACATCTATGCAAGAACTTAAAATTTCTCTTGAGAAAGTTGCAAAGGAGGTAACTGTCCATAGTTTGTTTAAAAAATTTCAGATCTCTCGTGTTGTTTACCTAATGTATCACGTTTACATATTTTTAAAAAATTTCTATACATTTTTTTTAGGGCTGTGCTGTGAACTTACTTCCGAGTGAAATGGCTGACCTAGATATTGAGTTATTCTCAGACTTGAATAAATTTGCTGTCTTCCGTTGCTGTGTTGCACTCTTTAATTCTTCAACTCTGGTATTATTTTTATGTGGTAGTATTCATGTTGGTATCTTGTAATAATCTAAACTAATGTTTATGTGGTGATGTTGCAGAATGAATTTACGTGTGAACTGAGCCAAGCAATGTTTCAGTTCTATGGGGGTCGCATAGCTCAAGAAATGAATTATGATGTGACCCACATTGTATTGGATAATAATGACACTGAAAATTTGGCGAATTTCCAAAAGATGAATCACTCTAGGTCACGGAAATTTCACATTGTATCTTATCAATGGATAGAGGATTGCTGTGATACCAGAGAGAGAATAAGAGAGTTCATCTAGAATTAAGTACCTCTTTTTTAATACAACTTTTAATTTTTTTTAAAGCAGTATTTATGTTGAAGAAGCAAATGCCATTTTTACCTCTTCTATACCAAGAGGATTGTAATTTGGAGGACTACAGCCTATCTGTTGTATTATTTCTTTTGAAGCATAGCAACCATATTGAATACATTCTTGTAAAGTGAAATTTTGCAGAATTCCTAACAAAAACCCTGCAACAAATGCATCCCCGGCTCCTGTTGTGTCTTTCACAAATCTTGGCTGCAGAACCGGAGTTTCAAACTCAGGATTTTCCTGGTTTGCACAGATGACTGGCTTCTGGCCCCTTGTTATGGCAACTACTTTTTTCCACTTAGCAAGATTTTCTACCCTTATTGCCTTCCCATCAGAGCTTGATAAAGAGGATGCTGGTTGTATGCCAATATTTGCTATTTTTGAAGCTATTCCTACAACATCATTATGATTCCAGCCAATTGATTTTGCAAGTGCTAAGTATTCACTTTCATTTCCAATGACAACATTAACACACTTAACCAGTGATACTATATCTGCTCCATTCTTTTCAAACAAATATGAACCACTGAGGTTGAAAGCAATGGCAATATGATGTGTCTCACACAATTTCACCACATCCCACACAACAGATGGACTATGACTGAAAAAGAAGTTTTCAATGTATACAAGATTCACTTTCTTTACATTATTTCTATCTTCTTCTGTAAAGTCCTGTAGGTGATAGACCTCTGCTGCTCCTAAGTGTGCAAGTAGCGTACGTGAAGCACCATGGATGAGGCATATAGCTGAACCAGTCAATAAATTTTCATGAATTTTAAACCTAAAGAAAAAGAAAACAGCCCTGGATTAAAAATTATGATCTTTGAAAAAGTATTACAGATTTTTTAATTGAAAGATTTATATGAAAGGACAATTAACCTGCCAGAAACACCAGCGTTGTCAACCAAATGTGCAAGTTGTTCGCCTATGATGTCCTTTCCCACACCACCAAGAAATAAACTGGATTTAGGTATTTTCATAAGCCATTGAAATACACGAAGTGTATTGAGAGCTGCGCCACCAGGGCAGCCTTCCTTTGGGTAGCTGGAGGAATGCATATTGTCAAGAACTAGTATATAACGTTAAAACATTGCTAATAAAAACATTTCTGGGGGAGTTAGATGAAATCAGAATGAACATGATAGAAAAAAAATTTCTAACAAACAAAATATAGGAACTGACAATCAGCAAAAGTCAAGGAAATAGCAAATTATGTGCTCACCGCTGTACAGCTTTAAGTAGTGATTCATACTCTGCCGCTGTAACCTCCTTACTACTGTCGTCTGCTAAGCCAAACTGTGACAACACGCTATTATCCGGAAGAGTAATACAAACATCCCACAAAGGGTTGCCAAAAGCAGCAATAGAAGGTAAGATATTTTCCATGCTATCCGATTGGGTGGGTTACACAATTCAAAGCACAACTTACACCCTTTTTTTATTTTTTATGTTCCTTTCGTGTTTTTTTGGAACGGTGGAGTTACCACCATAGTGCCAAACGGCCGAACCGTATTGCAATTGCTATTGCCAGATGCAGCCCTTGCGCAGAGGCTAGGAAAGTAGGGAAGGCCGGCTCGACACAGCTGCTTAACGGGTTGGCCTACCTTGCAGGCGCTGTCCGACGCTAGCCACCCGTACTTGTTCCTCCGGCATACGGACGACGAACTCAGAACATACTTTACTTTTGCACGATGAGGTAAATCCGAAAACAAGCGTCCAATTAGTTCGAGAGTGTCTTCGGCAACTCTGAAACTGAAAACTTGAACCGGTTCACGGCGCAACCAGGTAAAGTTGGTCGAACAGTCCAACGAGGTTCGCAAAGTACTTGGATCACCCCCTGAAACAGTAACCCCCCCTCCCCCCACCAAAGTGACGCGTGCGCCCCGTGAAGGGACAGAGATGGGGGAGCAGCGCCGCCGCCGAGCCACCGGGGCGACCCACCCGGCCGGCCTGTGCGATGGGCTGCCTACATTTTCGGACTCGGGTACGGCCAACCTCCGGGCGAGGTTGCAGCGATTTGCATGTGTTCATGTGTACTGTTGTATTGCCAGCACTGGCAACACCTGCTGGCTGCACGCCCCGCCCCCTCTCTCGCGGGCGCCAATTGTCGGGTTGGTTGCCGGGGTTCGCGGCTGGCGCTAGGGTCCGGGATCATCTTGAATAAACCGTGCTCCTGAGCAGACGTGCATTCTCAACTCCCTTCCTGACCGGCTACCCGAGTCTTCCCCTTGGCGGAGAATAGAACAGTACCTTTTCTTTTCTGTTTTATGAGTAGTGTTTTAAGAAGTGCGGGTTTTTCATTCCGAATGTTAAATTCTGGCCAAGTTTCTGGACCAGATGACATTACGATGTGATATTTTTTGTTGTTGTATATCGCAGCAGTGAATGATTGTAGTGTAAAAGAGTTTACTTAGAGATATTTAACAAAAACATAAGGCTAAGAAAAAGACATTCCCCCCGACCAGGCCACAAAGCCCTTACTGAGCGCAGCGGTGGCGTGGCGCCGCGCGGTCTGCCAAACACCCACCGACGTGCGGCGTGCGGCCAGCTGAGCAGCGTCCTGGCGAGGACCTCCATGATAACTGTCGGTATGACGGCCTCCTCCGGTTGCGATCTCCGGTCGAACTGATGGTGCGCGGCCGTGCTGCGCGGGGCGCTCGCCGTCGCGTGGCCCCCGGGATGGCGGCCCGGATGTGCTACCGCGCGGCCGGCAGCAGCAGCGAGGCACGCGACGACCACAGAGTGTGGATGGATTGGATGGACCACACGTATTTACTGCATTTACGACACATAATCCCCCCTCTCCCGAAAAAAAAAATCTGTCGGAACCGATTACTGCGAAAAATCTGTCTTCGTTAAGTATCTTTGAATTTTACCATGCACTCTAAATCTTTTACAAAGAATTTGCTCGTATAATGCAAAGAATTCTGTGCAACCGTAATATACAGGAAATTTCCTTGTATTACAAGAAATTTCCTAGTATTATTACACAAAAGTTTTCTTAGTATTACAATGATTTTTCTTTGTATTACGGTTGCACAAAATTCTTTGTAATACAAGAATTTTCTTTGTAAGAATTTAAGAGTGTGCCACTAACACTCGTCGGGTGTGGGCGTGAAATAGAAAAAAATCCAAAAAGTTGTGAATCCGTCTGCTTGGTAGACACCACCTATACACACATGCATTGCGGCTGCCTACCTGGCAGGCGGATTCACACCTTTTTGGATTTTTTTCTATTTCATGCCCACACCCGACGAGTGTTAGTGGCATGCTATACGGCGATCAAAAGGGCATAACCTGCCCGATATAAGGGCACGAAAAAATCACTCACTCAATTTGGAATTTTTTCTGGCAATCTTGAGTGCCGTATTTCGCGGCATTTAGGCCCGTGCATGTGACGGGGGCAGGCCGACAGCGGATTTTGGTGGTTGAGCGGGAAGTAGGGGTCATATGGACCTACCTCGGCAGTGAGTCACTCCTGTCGGCACCGCGGGGTGCGCGTGGCGAGCGCTCCAAGATGACGCCTTGCATCGGGCGCCCAAAAAGGGGCGTTTCGAACAGACCAATCAGCTCACTGGCGCTTCGTCGCAGAGACCTCGGACTAAGACCAAAGGTTACCTCTCGTCAAAATCTATCGTTTTAGGCCCGAACCCCGACAACTTTTTACTTTGGCCTTCAATTTGGAATGGGCTAGCGATTATTACCGTTGCTGATTTGAAAGTGCGGCCTTCAGGCCCGGCCGGCACCCTACAGCTGTGTCGCCTCCCGTACGGCCTGTATTAACAATTAAACTAGGCCACACGTCATAGGTACTCCCGCACGACGCGTAACTCCCACCCAGCCCAACCACCCTGACCACGGGCCGTATCGTAAAACGGCGCCTGCTGGCTGCTTTTGGTGCATCCGACGGGGAATCGTGTGTCTCTAAGAATGCACGCCCTATGATAGTCTCATCGCGCCCTTGCTTCCTTTTTCTCGTGTAGAGTGGGATAGGCGAATCGGTCGTCCTCGTGTAAAAAACGGAAATTTTAATTCGACGTTTTGCTGCCAAATAAAGAATCTAAACTGGATTCTGTTGAATTAGTCGTCGCTTTTGTTGGTAAATCTTCGTCGGACATCCGAAGCTGGAAGAGAACTATCAGGTACGTGGCAATGGCTGCCATGATCTAAAAAGAAAAAAAGAAAAAAGCAAGCCATAGAAAATTATCTGTATACTCCTCATTATTGTAAAAAATCGCATGTATGACGGCCATTCCCCGGGCCAGTACACACGCTTAGATATGTTGGACGTTTGATGCTGATCATGCCCATAAAAGTAACTTCGGCCGGGTTAGTCGATATCGTGTGTAAAAACTGCTGGTGCTGAAAAATTTGGGAAATGAAACAGTAAAAAATCCAGCCTTATCCATGTCAGAATAACTTCCGCTTACCTCGGTGAGCAGGTCGGCCGGCAGTACCCTCCAGCTTTTCGACGCCAGAGGTTCGTAGAAACCAGTAAACATCTAGAAATAAAACAGGGTAACTTTACGTGGCTGTCGCAACGGGGCCGTTGATGGGCTTCAGGTGGTACTCGCCACGTCTTTCAGCCGGTGCGCCGTGTCGCAGATGTGGATGAGCGCGAACTGGGCCACGAGGAGGACGCCGGTGCTGGCGAAGCACAGGAGGATGTTGTTGTTGTAGTAGGACACGGCGGACTGGTAGCTGGTCAGCGTCACAATGACGAGGAGGTAGAAGACCATCGACAAGCCCGTGAGAGACATGCTGCCTAGGTCGACCGTCAGCTGGCGCAGGTTGAGCCACGCGAGGCGAAACTCCTCGAGGCGGGAAGCCGTCATCCGGTCGGAGTCCAATTCCTGGAGGTCAAGAGCAAGCCCCTCAAAGCTAAATACAAGTTCCGGGATGAGAAGACCCCCCCCC